TCTCTCTCTCTCTCTCTCTCTCTCTCTCTCTCTCTCTCTCTCTCTCTTTTTCAATACCAGGGATTGAACTCAGGACCTTGTGCTTGTCAGGCAGGCACTTATTCTACTGAGCTATCTCCCCGACCCCTCTTTCCTTACTTTAAATAAAAGTTGCATTTCATATTAAGTAAAAGGTTGCATTCTCTGGGTAGGACAGCAAAAGCCTGGAATCACTGGGAACTGTGCTGTCTGACAACACTATGATGCCTGAGGCTGTTTTAAGTACCTCATGGCTACTCCTTATGTGAGAATTTTGCCTTTGCTGTAGGCAGGTTCTGATAAGGACTTATCCCAGATGACCACTCCATGTGCCACTGCTTTGACTGTCCTAAAATAGGTCAGCAAAATGCAGGAGACTGCCTATATAGGGCCTAAACTTTCTCTATTTGAGTAGCATTCTTTCACACTCTTTGGGCCCATCCAGGAGGGCTCTCTCCTGTGTACCACCCCACCTCCACACCACAATAAAGCTTAACGATGAAAGTCATAGTAAAGCCTCTTTTGAGTGGTCCTACTGCCTATTGGTAATTTTTATCTTTTGTAGAGTGGGCTGAGAAGGTTGCACTGTGAGCTGGCAACACTACAGGCTATTATCCCTGAGCATGGTTGGCTGCCAGAGGGAAGCTGAAGAGCTCCAGGGACCTGCAAAGACCCATGAAGACTTTCAGAGTCCAGCAGAAGAGCCCTGAAGAGATGCCAGGAGCTGCTGAAGAGCTCCATTATGCTGCCAAGGGGCCTGTAAAACCTGGCTGCTAAGTGGGGCAGCTGAGAGCTTCCAGGAACTTTAATACTAAGAGTTAAGAGGCGCTCAGGCTGGGAACTGCTAACATCAAGGTAGCTTGTCAATTTGTGACTTCCCTCTGAATTAAGGAAGAACCCTCAGCTGATTGGTGACACCTTGGAAGCTGATATAAGAACCCTGAAGAAGGGGGTGGACAATGATGATGTGATGTCATCAAGCTCAAAAATAAGCCCAGGACTGATTTCTATTGTTAGTGTGTCTAAGAATCCACAGTAGCTGGTGACATTTACTGGTGTGTTGAATCAATGAATACATATTAAAATTAAAAAGTACTCTTACTGGAAGCTAAGTTAGAAATCTGTAGTCAGAGAGGGACTGGGCTCTCAAGGAGGTCAGTAAAAAATAAAGACATCAGAATTGTGGCTGGAGGTGCATCTGAAGAAGGCTAGACCTCAAGATGAGGATGTAATGGCTAGACCTGCATGCCTCCCTACGGAAGAAGCATTGACTTGGTTGGTTTTTTTTGCGGAATGGTGAATTGAACTCAGGC